CTGAACTGCCCCTGTAAAATGCTCAGTCAAACACTGAGACTTTCATATGCTCTTAACTAGACCGCTCCTGAGAAACCTGGGGAGAGGTATTTAATCTCTAAACTTTAATGCTGGACAAGCAGTTTGGATATATTCTGTATCAGAAATTAGGAGATACATTCAGAAATGGATTAAATCAAATATGTACCTAGAAGATAGAGACTTTCTAGGAGAGGAAAAATAAAGAGACTTCTGGCAAAACAAACTTGACAGGTATGAATGTTTGGAATCTTTGTCTTTTTATGTATAGGGTCAATAAGCCTGAGCACAGTGCATTAAAATCCTTCTATATAGTATTCTAATAAACTTACAGTTATGATGGGTATTGAAATCAATTCTTCATAAAAGATTTTTGAGAGATGCTTTTTTCTTTCTCCAGAGAATAACAGAACAAAATGTTTAATCTCAAATGGTTATCTTCCTGTATTTGGGAGAGACTGAGTAAACAGAAGAATTGATAAACTCTGTCTCTGGAGGTAGAAATTATTATCTGCAGCTTTCCAACCTGCAAGGCTTTTTACTCAGTACAAGAATATGTGATGCATGTTATCAAAGGCTGGGGATAAACCAGAGAAAGAAGCAGAACTGGCGTTTTGCTGCCAGTAGCATCTTTAGATGAAAGAGAAAATTGACTGGGGACTTTGGAAAAGTTATTTGAAAGATTGATGCTTGGAGTTTGAGGAGAGGAGCAACTCCATTTGTAGGTCAATACTTAAAGCCATTAGAAGATCAGGGCGATACAAATAATGTGTACTTCTAACGCTGCCTTTGTAAAGATAAGGGTTTCAACCCTCCAATTCTCCACCAAACTTTAACGGTGTTAATTATAGATATGGTTTTCATGGTATTGAGATGAAATCTTTTTCCTTTAAGGCTCACGGTCAGAGCTTTCTCGTAGCTTATTTTTTTGAACATATCATTTGGGAGAAGGGGGATTAACTTCATTAAAAAATGGACAGGCTCATCTGCTGCTCCCATACTGCCGTGGTCTCCAAACCTGCATAGGTGACATCCTAGCAACTGGGTAGCTGTAAATCCTGAATAGGGGTCCCTAGCTTCTCTGGGGGGTAAATGGGGTCTTTCTGAGGAAACTGGTATAAATATGAATGGTAACCCTCCTAATGAGTTGACAAAAACCAGGAGAGGAGGTTTTTTCCCCTTCAGTAGCTACTGAAGGCAATAACTACTGTTAGTTATTGTTAATAAGCAGTATTAACAGAGTCATTTGAAGAAGTCTTCTGGCAGAAAAGTACAACTGCAAAGATGCAAGGGATAAGTCCCATGAAGGTAAAGCCTATTAATGTCTTTTTTTCCGGAGTTCATCTTATATAGGGACCTCCTTTTCTTCACAAAGAAAAAAAAGAGGAGAAAACTCATTTTCTGATAGGCATTTTAGTTAGTAAATGCATTAGGTGGGCGTTTTGGTTTTGTTTTTTTCAAGTTTTGGAAGCTTGAAGTACTTTGCTGTGATTAAAAACCTGCTAAAAACCTGCTAAAAACCTTAAAAAGCGAGCCCTTCAGCTGGAGCCAGCCCAGCACCAGGTCTCATCCCCAGCTGTTTTAAGCCCGTGTTGCTTCAGCAGTGCTGGTCTGTACCGGCTGCTGCTAGTACTGAAAATGGCTTTTACGTCAGGTTGTGGAGCACTCAGTTCCTGGCTTGCCCTCTTAAATGCACGTCCATGAAAAAACCTTTACCTCTGAGACCATGAGAAGAGGGTGTAAGTGCTGCCTCTCTAGTTTTAGGCAGTGAGTGAGATGCCTGAGCCAAGGTGAGTGTCTCCGTGTCACCTTATCCCAGCCATGAAGGGACAAACCAGCCTGCGAGGTGAACGCCAGAGCTGGCGTTACCCAGCCTTGCTGCTGGGCTACCAGGGTTAAGTCCAGCCTTTGCAACACCTGCTTCGCCAGCAATTGCAGTTATTTAGAGCAGCGCGAGATGTAGTCAGGACATAGTTGGGAGCATCCTTCCCATTCGGGGGAGCAGGGGAGGGCGCGATTCATGCCAAAGCAATCAAAAAAATCTTTTATCTCATTCCAAGGTGTGGCAAAACCATTAGATGACCTGCCCTATACAAATGATGTATTTTATTTAAGTTTCCCAGTTCAGTTGTTGATTCTCCTGCTGCGAGATGTGTGCTGTTGCTTCCTACAGAGTATGGCAAACTGTGTAAATCAAAGTAGTCGGGTTTTACAGAATTACAAACCCATGCAGAGTTTAATTTGTGCCCTGAAGGGAGGACCAGCCGCTGGCTGGACTGCTTGTGAGTGGAGTTGTTAGTAGTTCATCGGTAACCATTAAGCAGCTTGAAAATATTTGTCCTTTGAGAGTAACCTGAGCTTTGCTGCAAGGAAAAGAAAGGGGCTGGGGGGCATGGGCTAGCAGCTGGGTAAAAATGTCATTTAAATTGAATCTTACCATTAGAAAGGGTAATTTTTCACCAGAAAATTTAATAAAACTGTATCTTTGTTACGTCTTTTGGAAATACTTCAGATTGCAGTTTTATTGAATACAAAGAAATTAATTTTCATTCATAAAAATTGACCGGTTACAAAGCAATAATATTTTTGGTTGCTGTTTGTTTAAATATAAGGAGGAAGGACTTCAGTGAGACTTTAAGAAAGAATTTGAATTTAACATTAAAGCACATGTGAAACTTTTGCTGACTCGCACCAAATACAGCCACTGGTGGTTTAAGTCATATGTTAAGTACTGCATAATTAATTCCATGTTGACGGCCCTGGTGATTTAAGTCAGAAAACAACCAGTAGCCCTGCAAATCTTTCCACAGCTGCTCCAGTGCTATTCTTCAGGGACTTTCTCCCACATTAGTCATTCTGAGTCCACTTAATCTTTGAGCCCTTTGCTGAGATAACTGAAATAGCGAACATGTTCTGAAACTAATGAGATGCTGCAGAATTGTGATCAATAGTAAGTTTTGGTTGTTGGTAGTCAGAGATAGTATGCACAGTAATTCCAGGCTGGAGTTAAAGTGTTCCATTGCCTGTCCCCAGGAGGGAAATTGGCTGAGATAACTGGTTAAGTACAGTTTTTAAAGATGACTTACTGAACAATTGGGAAGGATCTAAAATATTCTGCTTAATAAGGGGGATTTTCCTCTAGTTTTAGATGAACTGCAGAAAGCTTCATGCAAAATAAAACATTTTTCTACTTTTGCTGTTGCACATGCTGAATTGATTTTGCTTGTATTCGTATATCTTGTTGTTTAAGCAGAAGATCCTGTGCTGAGAGAAAAATATCAGCAGTTCAATGCCTTGCTCTTTCAAGAAAGGGGCTACAGACTCAAATAGTGGACAAAATGTGTGGGTTTATATGTAGGTGATTTGCCTTAAGGCTTCTGTTAGGAGAGTCTTGCTGGTGTTTAATCTGCTGTTGCCTGAGAAGTGCTTTTTCTTGAAGTCAACAGAAAAAAAAACTTGCCCTGAACGAGCTTGATGAGGTCTACATCTCAGCATTTTCATTACACAACGTTTTGTAGATGCTGTGTGTATATGAAGTTGGCTGCTGGTCTGATTACCTTCTGTTCCCACTACCTCTTCCAATACTTGGAAATAAATAACTGTGAAAGAACTTGCTTAGTTTGAGTTTACAGACTTTTCTGAGGTTTTACTTTGAGCTGTGAAATGTCATGTTGGATTTAACTAACTCATCGAGTAAACTAATGATTATGATTGAAAAGTTAAATATAAAATATTTGAAGATCAGGATAGAGGAAGGTGGCAAAAATTATGCGTGCCACTTTACTTACATGGATGTTACTTGGTAATTAAACCAGATTACTTCTGAGATATTTTAGCTGGCCTGGAATTTTGAGAGGTGGACTAAATCTACTAATTAGTAGCTTACTAAAAAATATGCTTAGAAAGTTATCCCATTTCTCAAGGTGTGAATGTATAAATATTAAGATAAAAGATTGCAAGATGATAGCATTATGGAAACAGAGAAATCCTTAAACTGCTTGCAGAGTAAGCATAACTCTTTTCTGCATTTCTTTGCATTTAAAAATATTTCTTTTCAACACTGACTTGTACTCTCACCTACTAATTTATTAATGTATTTTTATTACATTTAAGCATCTCAGGTTAAGTGTTTAGGCTTTTCTTTCAGAGTACTACTATAAAGGAGGTCATAACATGAAAAATACATGTTGTGTAGAAACTACCCAGTGCTATTTTTGTGCCTTCTCTTTAAAAACAACTGTTTAATTTTTTAGATCATCACTGTAAAAATGATGTTTACCTGGGACTGGAACTAAGTTCATTTTTCATAAATTATGTATGAGCATATGCAGTGGCTTTTTGCACCTACAAGTGAGTTTTATGAGCTTACTTTTGTAAATGTGTTGTCTAAGTACTGTATGTTAAAGTTACTCGCCCCAGATTGTTTTCTGGCAGTTGTTAAAAGCGCTTGCCAAGGGAATGCTATATCCTAATTCAATATACTTTACTACCTGCTTCAAAATTGGTGAATTGCCTAGATATCAAACAGTAATAAATTCATAAGCAATTTGCTGTACTTTGCTCTGAAAATTTTTCAGTGCATTAGCTATTGCATTTGTACTAGCTATATTTCCAGTTCTATTGAACTTTGAGTAAGGAAAGCGTAAAAGGGACAATGATAAAAATGGCATTTTAATGCTCTGTGTTATACAAGTCAATGTTGACATTTTCCAAAAAAGGAGATTATGCAAGACCTTTAAGGATATTATATGTGCTTCATGTGCGGTGTACATTTGCCTCTAAGAAAATCAGCCATCAAAAAATATGAGAGAAAAAAATTATTTCCACATTACATTTTCAGAAGCTTAATTTTGGGATTCTCTTACTCCTGGAATTACAATATAAAGTATGCCTAGAATAAGGTAGATACCACAATAAATCTGCCTGCTAAGTGCTAAATGCTTTTATATTTTCAGAAAAAAGCCAAAGGCCAGCTCCTGTTTGAACAGATCATGTATCATCTAGACCTTATAGAAAGCGACTACTTTGGATTAAGATTCATGGATTCTGCACAAGTGGCTGTGAGTAGCAGTGCTTTTTTTTGCCTTTTTTCTTTTTTTTTTTTCTTTTTTAGGCAACAGTCTTAATATTGACAAAAATACTGTAATACAAAAGCTGCCTTTTTTGAGTTAAGTTTTGTGCAGAAGCTCTGTGGTGTGTGAGTTCGAGTGACCCCAAGTTTAGTTCCACCTCGAGCACTCTGACATTGTACAACACTGTTGTCTCTTCCTTTCTTGTCTTCCACTTGTTCCTGTCCCACCTTCTGCTGTCCTTAGGCAGGATGGTCCAGTGGGACCCCCAGAGCCCGATCTGCCACATAGAAATTCTTGATACTGCTGATGCAAAGAGGAAGGGGCAAAACTAGAGTGTGTGCTTGGCCCTTCGTTGTTCTAGAGTGGAGAAAGTTTTCCTTTGCCAATGCCATCAGCTTTCTCATCAGCGAAAGTCATCTTGTTACTGTCTGCTTGGGAAATAATCTTGTCAAGAGGGGTATGCCTTTGATTTGCTCAAATCAGTTGTGACTCAGACCTGCAACTAGAAGTTTTTGGGAGGATATAGGTATGTATCAGGCAGTTTGAGTAGAGGGTTCTTGCAAGGCTGAGTGTTTGTGAAGTTTGTTGTGCGTTTGTAAAAAATGTGACTGCTTTTGAAAACCACAGCAGAGCATTGTTTGTCAGAAGCAACCACAATTCTTTCACTTGTGGGCTGTGCAGTTTTATATAGACACTTCTTATGGCCAAGTAGTTAATCCTGCCCACAAGGATAGCTGCGAGTTAAGTGAGGAGTGGATTTTTGTCTCTGTCCTGCATCCCTCTGACTTAAACCTGTATTAACTTCCCCCAGCAACCCCAGGTAGGATGAGATCTGAGACTTTATACTGTGTATGTCAATCTTATTTGTTAAATGTATGACCTAATTGTTTCTGTGTTTCAAGTCCACTTTAGAAATATTTCTTGATTAGGATGGCACAGTGGAAGCACAGACAGTTGCTGCTGAGCTAAATACCTGAATTGTTCGAGGTCAGCATACAAAATGGAGGCAGTGACGTATGTTCCTTTACTTCTGTCAGGGTCTACGTCCAGAACAATTTGACGGTGACATCTTATTGTTACAGCTTTGTACAATGGCAAAAAAACTCCCCAAGCTTGGATCTTTGAAAGAAGCTGACAGCTTTGGACACAGTGTTATTCACCCTGAAGTACACTTAGAACCTGATGGCTTCTTTTCAAAATTATTGTGATCAAGTTTTATGCTTAGCTTGTAATTCTAGAGAACATTCTCTTTGGAGAAAATAATTTGTGTTCAGAATCTGAAGAAAACTTCATGGCTAGCAGGATTAGCTGCTGCTGGACTGCAGTTCCCAGTCAGTTCCCAGTAGTGAGTGAGGTCTTAAACCTCTTGCAGAACAGAGACATTTAACACTAAGGAGAAAAAGACCATTATACTAATGGAGGGATGTCATTCAGAACCAAGCATACCTCCTACCAACAGAAATTAGAAAACAGTCCATTGCATACCAGTTTATATTTATAAAAATCATGTTAGCTATGTTAAGCGTGTGCAGTTTAGGATGTTGAGTGTTGATAGTGAATGACTCCATTGCATTTATCTGTACATTTTAGGTATCCTAACTCAGTTTCTGCCACATGGCTTCTGAAGTATTTCCATGTGCCTCTAGGATCTCATGAGTTCACAGTGGGTTGGTTATAACTGGTGAAACTATCTGATGGTAAACTTTTTTCTCTTATTGTTCTGTTAGCAAATAACATCATTTCATCTTGAATTGGGGAAATAAGAGTTAATCTTTTCTGCCTCAGCAATGGCTTATGGCTTGCTTTTGTCCAGCAAATTGTTACTTGCAGTCCAGACAGCACCTGATTGAGTATTTAATACTGCACATTCTACCAGGTACGAGTGATTCTGAACTTAGTTTGCTTCCTTTTCTTAACTATGTGTGACTGAAAAGAGGCAGAGTAGAGATAACAATCTGTTTAAACTGGACTTTAATCATACACTCTGTATAACGAAGCAGAAAAGATTGCGTTTTGCCAGAAGAGCTGAACACAACAGCCAGAGATAATTGCTTTCAGAAATGAAGAACTGTTGTGATGGCAGTCGTTCTTGCAAAGAGGAGCTGGCATGTTCTAGCAGAAACCCAATCTGCAACTGGAAACAAAGAGACAGACTAATCAAGTGACTTGTCAAAGATTATGCAGGAGATCTGTTAAATAAACAGTGCAAGAATCCAGTCCCTCACTGTGGACAGAATTGCCCACTGGCTCTGAAGGAGATAATCTTTCTGCTACCTAATTTAAATCTAAGTATATTCCCTTACTAGCTAGTTGCACCTGATATAAAAACACTGGCAACATACAGTTAAATAAAATTTTGAGAAATTCCCTGCATGTTTTAACTACAAATGAGTTGTCAATAGATTAATTTTGAACAACTGAGGGATAGCTTTTTTTATTCTCTTGAGCTGCTGGAGTGATTAGTAGTTAGGTGTTTGAATTTATGATGTACTGGGGAGTGGGGGGGAACCCAGATAATACAAATTCTTCCTGGCATTTTGGATTTTAGGATTCAAATCCTAGCTTCTCTAAAGAAGTCCTTGAAACAATTAGTGAAGTGAAAGGATTGTTGTTTTCATGTGATTTCTGTGTTCATTGCTAGTCTTGATGGTTAGGAATAGATTCCGTGGGTCATTTCCCCACCCCCACCCCCAAATAAGAGGCAGAAGATTGCAAAATAAGTTATTTGTAAGATTGTCCACCATATCTCTGACTTGGTCTGACAGCCAAGGGAACAGGCTATTGTTAATTTGAGTAACTTTGATTCTGGCTGACGATGAACAGCACAGCATGTCCAGTGACACAAAAGATGAAGTTTGCTGTTGACTTGTTGGGCTATTTAACTTTTCCTCTAGCAATGCTGGAGAGGTGTTTCTAGTAAGGAGGCATTAAACATTTAACACGTGGCAAATTTCTAATTCTAATGCACAGGTTGCAAGCATCAAATATTTGCTTTTTCTAATGGAATTATACAACACATTGGTTTGTTACTCTGGCAATTTTATCTAATGTAGTGCTTAATGCTGGAAATTATTTGTATAGCTTTGCACTAAGTATGCACCCATTAATTCCATAAAGTATGGGAGCAGTTTTAGCCTCACTGTCTTACTAAAAAAACACCTTGTTTACCCTACCTTACTGAAATGTTGCTGAGTTTTGGTTCTATGGGATTTTTTGTTTGTTTTGGGTTGTTTTTTTTTTTGTTTTCAAATTTCTGAAGCAGCAAACTGTTTTAGTAAGGACTTCCAGTACTCTATGCAGTCTGTTCATACTGCTTTTTATTTAGCAGAGTTTATCTCTGGATTTCAGCAGTAGGCTGCACTGAGCAAACTCTCATCAAAATGTAAACTTTTTGCCAGGTCCTCTTGAATTCCATTTTAATCACTTGGAATAAATCTTAAGTTTCTTGATGTCTGTGTGTGTCCATGCATGCATTGGTTTGGGATTTTTTTTTTTTTGTTTTGCTTTGGTTTTTCCCCACTGCCGTTTAAAAGCAGTTCTGTTTCCCTTCTTCCACACACCCCCTTACCGTTCGGAGTGAGCTCCTGTAGGCAGTGGTGGTAAGGGCCAAGCAGAGCAAAACACTATCAGTGCCTGTCGTGGGCCTCTCAGTTGCCTTCCCATGGAATGTGGAGGAGATGAGAGAAAACAGGAGGGAGATGAAACAGGCGTGCACAGCCAGTCCTGCAGCCTAGAAATGGCTCTCTGCCCTTCCTGTATCTAAATCACCTGCAAACCTCCAAGTGGGAAGTTTCTGTATTTTTATGGTGGAGGAAGGAGTAAGTAAAATGCCTCTTGCAGCAAGTGAGTTTATGGAATAGGAAGAGAGATTGTATCATTTTCTCAAAGAAACAACAACAAAAAAATTGCTCAACTCCATTTCACTGGTAATGTAAGCGAAGTTGACATATTTACTTCCTTCTTCCTTAAGCTTCCTGCTTTATTTTAAAAATATATCAGATACCTTTCAGATAGCTTTCTGTAGCTGCTCTGTTTTAATAGATAATTTTCAGCCATGTGCACAGCAGCAGTAGATGGTTTAGTTGTTCTCATCTGCAGCTAATATATATCAATCACTGCGTATCCTGGCTGTATTACAGCCTGACTTTACACACTCTCTGCAGAAGGCAGGGCTGCTCTCAAGACAGGAGTGTGTTTGCACTTGGCATTGCAACCTGAAAATACCGGTTCTTTCTCATACCCCTGTTGCTTTTCTGTCCTCTGTGGGGCCCACTGTGAAGTTCGTGGCCCATAGTTTAACAACAGGAGTGTTGCTAAGTATATAATTCGTCTGTCTTAGTTGCAAGGTGACATTTGGGATTGATCAGATGAGGTGATGTCACCTGGGCATTGTGAACCATGCAGGACATGGTGTGCTAGGTAGTTTGCTCTGGCTGTTGAGTCAATGCAATTACATTGAAAAGGGTGCTGTGTTTACTGTTTATGAGTCACCTCCTTTGGAGGAGGGAGCTGTTCACTATGCGCAGCACTTGGAAGTAGGTCTCTACCACTAGGTGTATGTTAGCTTTCTAGGTTTATCTTGTAATTTCTGGTATAAACTCTTCAGCGGTGGGAGTATATGCAGTTATTTTAGGGAGCATAGCATATACGTGTAGATGTTTCCCTCAGCCTGCTTATTTTTCACATGCTGCTGTACGCTGTATAAGTGAAGCCATTATTTTGGCTTCACGTCTAGTATGTAGCTTATAATTAGCATTAGTAGGTGAGGCAGTAACTTCTGTCCTCCCATGTGAGAGTTGCTAAAATGTCACCTGTGAATAGATTTTTGAGAAATGGGTAGAGCTGACCCTTGTGTTCAGACATGGGCAGTTCTGCTGTTACTACACTTGAGTCCTCTAAAGAAAATGACTGAAAGCCAACAATATTTGTCTCTCCCCTTCTACCCCAAGTAAACATCAGACACAACTGAGTGCCAGAATCTCCAGCTATGATTTATGCCTCTCTGGCACATTGTCACTGGCTGACCTACTAATGTGTGAATTAAGTGTTTGTTTGGACAGGATGGAAATTTTTAGTAATTAAAGTGCTTTGCCAGAACATTTTTTTTTTAAAGTAGATAATGCTTTCTTGAAGATTGGCTTTAAATAAGGTACTACAGGATGTTTCTGTTGTTCAAAACTGACATTTTGCATTATAAACTTTGAGTGAAGGGATCTTCAATGAGCACTGAGAGCGCTGTGAATTATGAAAGATTTGGATTAGATTGTTTTAACAAACTACTTGTTATTCCAACATGACCTTCACTAATGAATAGGGTTTTTTCTTCCGTTTTTGTTCTTTCTGTGAGATTTATTTATTGATAATTCAATGAACAATTTGTTTTTCAGCATTGGTTGGACAACACAAAAAGCATTAAAAAGCAAGTTAAAAGTAAGTGCCATTTCCATTTTCTCTTGGGATCTCATATTGAACATACAGGAGGCACAGAAAGTTGAAATGGGTGGTGGGGGACAGTGTCCTGTGAGGGGTGACAGGAACCGGTGACAAAAACCTGGCATGGTGCTGCTGATTGTTTAATGACCTCTCCCCTCTGTAGATCATATTACTTTAGTCTAATGTCCTTAATTAAATATGTTATAGGCTCATTAATTATAGTTTAACTGGAGTCAAGGCAGCTGTAAATGTTTTAGTGTTATAGATCGTTATCCTGACTATAGAAAAACTGGTCTTGGAGCCTCCGTCCTCGGGGGGAGTCCTGAATGCCTGAATCTGTGTTCAGTCCACCAAGTCCTTACCTGCTGCACAAGGGTTTAGTGTGGCCGGGTTGTCTCAGTGATGCGTGCTTGGGTAAGCTGTGACATCGGCTGATTTTTGTTTAGCAGCTTCCTTGCTCTGCCCTGTGGGAAGTCTTCAGGGATTTGTGGTGCTGTGTTAATACAGCAGAGGTTTTGGAAGCACCGAGAGAGAGAAAATTCCTCCTGTCAAATGCAAGAATCAGCAGAGCGCTGCACATTTTTAAAGAGCTGTTAATCCATCCTTTTGCTGAATTAACTCTTTGGTTTCCAGAAAAGATGATTCTTCTACAGAAGGGTCTGTTAAATGCCCCTAAAATATGCGTAAACTGCTGTGGAATAAAGGGGGCTGAGTTATCAGCAGTGGGTATTTCCCAGAGCCCTGGGAAGGCTTTACAGAGACCAACAGAGTGACTGCCTGGGAGTTTGGTCAACTGCAGAGCCAAGATGGGCAGCTTTCTTGGTGATGGGTTGAGTCCTTAAATATAGGGATTAACCTAGATTCGTGTGCTCTTGGCAGGACAAATCAAGTTAATGTGAGATGGCTGTTGGATTGACTTGTAGCAAATGAAACTATTTGGTGCATGTATTTAACTGTCCTTTCACCCTGATGTTTTTCATGCATTTCTCTGTCACAAAGGAATCTGTTTCTTAAGGCCTTGCGGTAGGACAGAGCCAATTTCAGTCAAGTTTTATGATGTGATTCTGTGTAATAAAAAAATAAGATTTCTCATCCAGTAGGTGTTAACGCTGTCTTGAATGAATTCTACTTTGCAGTTGGCCCACCGTATTGTCTGCATTTTCGGGTAAAGTTTTACTCATCAGAGCCCAACAATCTACGTGAAGAGCTAACAAGGTAAGAGGGATTTTGTATGAGAGAAAGGTACCTAAATAAGGTGATGTTTTGGAGAATTCCTTAGAGCTGCTTGGTTACTTGGCTTTTTGTAAATGTTTCTAATATAGCTCTCATGAGATAAGTGAGCTCTAATATAAAGAGATCTATATATTTACTGTATTACTTGATGCACCATTTTTCATTAGGCAATTCTGACAACTGATCTAAGTACCTTACACCAGAGGTTTTTACTGAAGAGAACAGGCTTCATTTCTCTTTATTCTTCTTAAGCTGCATTTAGTTTCAACTGTATGCAGTCATCTTGTCTCTTCAGGCAGAAAAGCATTGAATTGCAAGTTAGAGCTTCTCTTTGGCAAAAATAAGCTCAGTTAACATTTCATTGCTTCTGTGGTCTTTGCAGAGCTTATGGAAAGGGAAAATAGTATTTTACTACCATGTTGAGATGTGAGTTGACAGTACTATATGTGTAGGATTGTAGTATCAAGTGAGAAGCAGTTTCTCTTGATTAAAGCATTTCACAGATCCGATCATAATGCTGCATTTCATGTTGGACTGAGACATACTTGGGGTACTCTGAAAGAGAACACAACCTACCATCTGTCAGTAGTATAAATCCGTTGTAAAAGGCAATGTTTCTTTGCATTGTTGCTACTGCTGATGATCTGTTTTGGAGAGAAAACGTAGTTACATTTTTGTGATAGCTGTAGATGCTTCAAACCCTCAGCCATTTATAAAAGTGTGAAGTGAATTTATTTGTTTGTACAGATTTATGTCTGTGTGGATCTTCAGTCTGCACTTTAGGAAAATCCCTAGGAGTGCTATGAGGAAGATTATAGTAGCATTACCCTTTACAGCCATATGTACCCTGTGCAGCTTCATACTTACGTGTGGTAACACAATGTTATAACTGTTCTTTAATGCTTTTCTGCAGATCTGGGCAGAATGTTTTACCTCCCCATTCATGTTCCTGAATAAACATTTAACTGTCTTTAAAAATAGTAACCAGAGACAAAATTCAGACCTGCATCTGTATCTGCCACTATGAAATATTTTTATCCATCCTGACTGAGTTCTGCCAGTCAGACCTTGCTATACAGGTTTTGGCAGGGCAGACCTGAAACCTGAGGGCTTTAAAACCCTGTCTGTCTGCTTAGCTAATCCCCCAGAACGGGAGAGCAGCAAGTCTGTCTTCTGTCTCTAGACAATTTTTACGCCGTAAAGAAGCAGTGAGAAGGGGAGCTCTGCTATGGTTACAGGTGTCACTAGCAAGGCCTCTTCAAGGGTTCCACCTTTTCTTTGTGCAGCAGGATGCCCAACTGGAGCAACTTTTCAGCTTCCACAGGTGCAGCTTGCTCACGTTTTCTGCCAGCTTCCCATCAGATGCCACCAGTCAGAGGTCATGTAACACAGCCTAGGCATGGGAAGTATGCTTGAATTGTTTGCAAGTGTTATGTGGCTGATAAGCAGGGACTGGTCACACCCACTATGCACTGGAGGCCTGTGCTCATTCTTTTGATATCTAGGGTCAGTACCAAACAAATTTATTCCCCATGTAGGGGCTCGTGTTCAAAAGGCTTTGGATAATAAAGAGTTTGGCAAAGTATTTGTGGATTTCCCAGGGACTTGTAAGAAAAATGCCTGCATCTGTTTCGTGTCTGTATGTGAGTATGAGGAGACATAGACACAACAGAAGCATCATCTATGGCTTTGTGTATAAGGCTTCTGTTCATCTGTAGTAGAATTCAAACTGGATACCATCGTGGATGCCAGCGTTTTAGTTGATGAGACTACTTCTCTTGTTAAAGGAAAGCTGTGTACCGTAATGAAGCAAGAGGGCTACTCTCTGTGGGTGTTGGATCGGAAGGATTGGTGTTGCCCACTAAAAGGATAGGAGCTTTGTATTCAATATTTATCCAGTTTCTAAGCGAGAAGAGTACTGAATAAGCAAGGCAGTGAAGGAAAGCTGGCTCTGAAGAGTAAACAAGTTGAAAAGACTGGAGCCTACTGTTTGTGTTTTTTTTTTTTGTCACTTTGCAGTCAGCTTTCTGGGTTAAATTTTAATTAAACAATCCATATTAGGAACATTTATTTTTTAAAAACTTTATTTGTTCATTATCTTACCGATATATATAAATAATGAAGAAAATGTAGAAGATGCAAGTTGTTCTTTGCCCAAGTAGGATCAGAAGAGAAAAAATGAGACTGACTTAGGTGTCCTGTTTCTTTTTCCATGCAAAATTGTAGTTCAGCTTGTGACAGCTTCTAGTTTTGGGTTTACTTAATTTGAAATGTGTGCAAAGCATACAAACGCAACTGATAAAGCCTTGAAAAATCACAATGCAGTTTCTTCAATCTTGAAAACCCAAGTGAAGAGTACAAAACATTTTTATTTGTCCGGCTCTAACTTCCTTCTGTTGGCTGAGTGACACATTAGAGCTATTAATCAATGACTCTTATTTCTTATTTAATCCTACAGGTATCTGTTTGTTCTGCAGCTGAAACTGGATATTCTTAGTGGAAAGTAAGTATTCTCAATAAACAGCCTTTTAAACAATGACAGTGTGTTTAGCATAGGATTTATTAAACTTATATTTGGATTATTAATAAGTTTTGCTAAGTAATGTTATTTTTTTATCTGAAATACTACTTTTCTGTGCATGTATAGCAGCAGATGAATGCTTAAATAATGTAGTGCTTATCTCTTGTTAACTGAAAATCTACTTATCGTTCATTTTCCTATCCCAAACATCTGCAGTTTCTCATTGTCATATATATGAGTTGTCTGCTAAATAGCATCACCTAAGGTTTTAACAATGCCTTTCTCTTACGGCAGATTGGAATGTCCTTTTGACACAGCCGTCCAGTTGGCAGCTTACAATATGCAAGGTGAGTAGGTGCAAGCAGGGAAGGATGAAGTTGCATGAACAGCTTTGTGTAGACTCTTATTACTTCTTTCAGTCTGTCTGCGTTATATCCAGAAAATAGGTTCTGTCCAGATGTTAGCAATCTAGTGTGAAACACAGCTCTTTTTGGTTGTAATTTTGCTGAGAGCATATATAGAAAATTACTCGATTCCTCAGGAAACAAAATAAGGAGATTGTGAACATAAACAACTTTTCCCTAAACTTGTGTTTCTCAGGTGCTTATGTGCAAACCTGTTCATTTTCACACAAGATACGAAGTCTGCACTCTTCCTGAATTGCTATGATGTAGTAACACAGTTCACTTTTTTCATCATGTAGTTTCTGCCATGTGTTTTCTTTGGTGTACAAATCAGATACACAATTATTTTGGTTCTGCACTCAATTGAAGAGTCCTGTATATAAAAACCACCAGCTTTTGACTTCAGCTTATTTGTAGAAAACCGTTAGTGCCCCATGTCTCATGCTTGTACTTGAGCATTTATGATTGAACTGCACTTGTTGATATTTCAGGTCCTCCTTCAGCCAAAAGAGGTGACATACTGTATTTTTTCTCGGCTATACAGCACTATGCTTGGGTCATTTGAGACTCTTATTAATGACTTGCCTTTTACCTTTGATTCCAGCTGAGACTCCAGCATCCATGGCGTCTCTGATAGCTGTGGTCTCACCTTCAGTTGCTTGTATAGGTTGCACATCACTGATCTTCATGGCCAATGTCTTCTGTTGTTCGGATGAGGGTGTGATCTTAACCAATGTGAAGTTTGCTGTGGTTTCAAGCAGGGGAACTCGCAAAGGAAAGAGGGGAGCCTTGAAGTTTTAGAAATGTCTGCTAAAGTAGGCTTTTTGGTCCTTATTCAACCCAGTTTATGAATCTACCCAAAAGAAAAAAAATCCCAGAACCTCTGCTGTAAAGCTGTTGTACAGTCCTCTTTGATGAAGAGGGAATTTGGAGATGAGCCATGCATCGTGCTGCACAAATTCTCTGCACAACATTCATTTTATAAACCAGTGCACTGTTGTACATACTTTGCAGGAATTAGGTAACAGGACTAAGTCACTGAAATTGTCTTACAGGTATTTTCCCAAACACATTTTGTGCTTCAGGCAGGAACTACTAATTGCCCTGATCATGTGTAGGTATAGGGAGTTAGGATTAAACTGTAAAGATACCTGCCTTTTTAACCTACTCTTTTGTGTGGAAGGAAAACAGTTAGAATACATTCCATAGTTAAAAATATTAGCATTGTTAGAGCCTTAAGATATGGGTTCAGCGTATAAGTTTTTAGAAAAACAAAGTGGTATAATTAGGCCATATATCCATTGCTTTTTGTGCTGGTCTTTTCTTTCCTCTCTTCACAATGAAGCCCGTAGCAGGGCTTTAATCTTACTGACAGCTGTGTACTTTTATTTAAATCAGCTGGAACCTAAGCTGGCTTTGACAACATTCCTTTCAACAAAGGCAGGCGTTTTAGTGGGAGTAAATTATTACAGAACTACAAGCTTCCTCAGTCAGCATTAAAGGAAAAAAAAAAAGGAAAAGGAGAGGGTGAAAAGACTATTCTTATGCTTGCAGTGTTCAGAAATCCAAGAAACAGGTTTTTAGATTGTATGCAGTTTCTATACATATGGAATATTGTGCATATTTATTTGACTTTTCCAGGTCTTCCCAAAGATGTAACTTTTTTTTTCTACACAAACATCTGTAGTTTTTTTCAGACAGAACAGTTACTGGCCTGTATTGGACACCCAGGGTCCAAGTTATAGAATTATTCCTAATTTTTTTGATATGAGCTGAACATTAAGAAACCGCTTGACGTCAGTGGGAGGAGCAAATGCTTAGATACCCTGAAAATCAGGACATTTTTATAAAGGTTTCTAACTGTGAGTTTCAGCATTTTAGGCATACATCAGTCTTCTAAAAGCTGGACTTGTTAGCATCTGTGGAAAAAGGAGGTTGTGCTTTTGGTGTGGCACACCCATTGACTGCTATGTTCCAGTATGCTCTCTAAATGGCATCTCTTATTGCCCCTGTTGAGCATGCAGCAGTGCACTAGATGGGCCATTTGACTGACCCAGTAGGGTATTTATTATGTTCTTAGATGAAAAGAAGAGCGACAAATAACAGCTGCATGATTGTGCCTTGACACAGAGTAATTTCAGCAGGCAAGGGGTATAGTCATAAAACCAAAAACTGACTTTTAGAAGGGACAAGTTTTGCTTTTTGCAAATCTCAAGAGACTTTGTTTTAATAATTTAAAGCAAAATTCCATTGTAACTTTAGTCAACTGTCATCTTGGTAGAGACTTCAGTGATAAAGATGTTGAAAACTTTCTGCAAGAAAGAAAAAAGGTGAGTTTCAAGGATGTTGATAACTTCTGTTTACAGGAAGCTTATTAAGGAACGTATTAATAACACTTTGTAGAAATTAATGCAAAGCTTTTGTACAGACTACACAACCGTTTGTTCAGTGTTCATAATTTCCCTGTCAAAAAGGTGACACTTCAAATATGGGGAGGACTGGAGAAGAAAGAGGAACACAAAAGGAAATTTAGTATTTTAGATTAACTAGAAAAGTGTGCAAACTTCCTGTTAACATCCACTGTGTTTATTTGGAACATTGCTTGACAATGCTGTTCTCTTGTAGCTGAACTTGGAGACTATGATCCTACCTGAACTGGTGTCCGAGTTCAGGTTTGTTCCCACTCAGACTGAAGAGATGGAACTAGCTATTTTTGAGAAGTGGAAGGAATGCAGGTACTAGATCTTCCAGTGCATGCTAACCAGCTGTTCACCACTTACTTTTCTGTGAAGAGAGTGTATTAAAAAGATGCTGCTGATGCTTCTTCTGGGGTCTTGTTCAGAAACATGGTTTCAATATGATTGTCTTGTTTTGTAAGAGGATATAATGTGGAAAATGAAGCTTTTCAAAGGTCTGAGTAGAATGATGAGGTACAGAGTCTTGAAATACAATAATGTTTGCAGCAGCAGTTTCAGATTAAAACTTAGAAAAGTGACCTTGATGTTCATGAAAGCGAACAAGTGTCAGCAGTGTTTAAGTTTTTCACAAACTTTCAGGAATTTCTTTTCTTCTTTCCTTATATACCAGTTTTTCCTTTCTGTGCTTTTTCAGGCATCTACCTAACAGCAAAAAATTTATTTCAGGGGGCAAACGCCAGCACAGGCTGAAACTAACTACTTAAACAAAGCTAAGTGGCTGGAAATGTATGGTGTAGACATGCACATAGTTAAGGTATGTTTAACCACGGCATGGTGACCTTTGGAAATGATAATATTAGCTTTGTCCTGCATTTCAACACTAGTTTGCTTTGAGGAGGTAAAAAAAGGAATATTGTACTCATCTAAACTGTGTAACAAGTGATCTGACTTTGCATCAACATTCCACTTTATAGTACACATTTCTAGAAAGTATGACTTTAGTCCAAGCATATCTGCTCTGTGTTAAATACGAGATTGGTGTGGCAATATGTACTACGGTTTGTATTTAGACTAAGAGCTATGTGAAAATCATAGTAATTAAATTAAAATTGACTGGGATCCAATCAGCTACCAGCTGAAGAACCACAAGTAAAAATAGAACTCCTGTGGAGAAGGAAGTGCAGAGAACTGCACAAGGAGGTCCTTCTTCCACAGACAAATCAAAAAATTTTAATTTTCCACTTTAGTCAGCCTTATTGAAGGGTTGAAAACTAGAAAAATCCATTGCATAAGTTCATTGACACATGAGAGTTTTGTTGTATAAAATAAGCAGATATGTGTTTATTTTTAACACTGGGAAAATAAGCTACATTAATAATTAGAGTAATTTGGATGAAGGGTAAAACACCAAAATGAACATAACCTTTATTTTGTGGCAATTAGGCAAGAGACGGCAATGATTACAGCCTGGGGCTAACACCTACAGGAGTTCTTGTCTTTGAAGGAGATACAAAGATTGGTTTGTTTTTCTGGTAAGCTCTCTGTACATTAAAATATATTTTAGATTTTTACTCTTTACGTTTCTTTTGCGCTAACAAAAAAAAAACACAACTTGTTTGGGGTATGAGAGCACTGTGAATACTAGGTACCTGCAGAAATATTCTATAGCCTGTGAGTATTTTCATGGTGTCCAAACATACTTTCTTTTTTCAACATTCTTGGTTGATATGTTAATGGGTTTTACATTTGTATCATGCTAGAGGCAAGTGGAATGATGGAATAACTTTGGGATGTCTTTATTTTTTTATAGTGTATTTGTTGTTGTATTTTGCACTAGATTGCTTTGGAAATAGAGTATGCCCCCAGTCAGTGAAATAAAGCCTCTTCAGGTGTTCTAGCCAAGTGTTACACCTTACTGTTGAAAAAGAGGCAGGAGCAATAGTATTAGTGAAGTTTTTACATATAATGTCATCTGGGCAGGCTTTTCACTGAGAAATGTCTCTTTGTGCCCAGTAAAGGGCAGAAATGCCCCTTTCTGCCCATCAGTAAGGACTAATTAAAAACAAACAAACAAAAAACTCCAAACACCCTTTCTCCCCCTTTCCCCCCCTCCTCCAAAATCAGATCTGTGTATAGTCAGGGGATATAGAGCTTGCTTGAGTTTTTAATGAAGCTGTGCTTCTATGTGTGTCAAATACCTGAATAACATGCCATGATTTTTTAGAAGCATTCTGATGGAATTTTGCAGGGCTTTATATTGCATAGAACACAAGGTGGAGAACGTTCTAGCTAGCATATTTGAGTCTCGGTACACAGGCATTTGTGGATTTTAAAGTGCTTTATTCTGTAATTCCCATCCAGTCTTTCAAAACTGTATAAAAAGTAGGCAGATGATGAGGTGAAATTTTATCATATGAATAGTTAGTTTGGGTTAGCCCAGTCCAATTTTATAAACATCTCAGAAAAACACTCACTTTGTAGCAGAAATGTTATTTGTGTGTCTTGTCTGTCCACCATCAATTCTGGGTATTTTTTTGGTGGACAGGGAGGGGAAAAAGTGGTTGCATTTTTGCATCATGTTGTGTTCATGTTCTCTTTGGCTGGGATTTTCTGAAACAGAGTTGTTGTACGAATTGGTCTGCGATATATTGTACTGGGATTTACATTTCTCTAATAAAGCAGAATTATTTTGGCCTGCCTTTATGTCTTTCTGAGTTCAGTTTTGTGGGCTTTTGGAAGAGTAGGCAAGCAGGAGTATTTGGGTGGAGTTAGATTTCAGGTCAAGTAATTATTTTTTTAAGTTCTGATAGAATTACCTGTTTAGAAGTTGCTGACTTCTTATCTTTAAGCTTTCTAATTAAGTGTTAAATTTTGAAGTATAATCAAGCCCTACTTCATGAATCATAGAATCATTATGGTTGGAAGAGACCTCAAAGATCATCAAGTCCAACCGTATACCCAATGCCACCATGCCCGCTAAACCCACTAAACCATGTCTTGAAACGCCACATCTAAACGTTTTTTGAACACCTCCAGGGATGGTGACTCCACCACCTCCCTGGGGAGCCCATTCCAATGCTTAACAACTCTAAAGGTGAAGAAGTTCTTTCTAATGTCCAGCCTGAACCTCCCCTGGCGCAACTTGAGACCGGTTCCTCTTGTCCTATCGCTAATTACCGGGGAGAAGAGACTGACCCCCACCTCGCTACAACCTCCTTTCAGGCAGTGGTAGAGGGTGATCAGGTCTCCCCTCAGCCTCCTTTTCTCCAGACTAAACAACCCCAACTCCCTCAGCCACTCCTCATAAGACTTGTGCTCCAGGCCCTTCACCAGCTTTGTTGCTCTTCCCTGCACACGCTCCAGTAGCTCAATGTTCTTCTTGTAGTGAGGGGCCCAAAACTGAACACAGGATTCAAGGTATGGCCTCACCAGCACAGAGTACAAAGGGATGATCACTTCCCTAGTCCTGCTGGCCACGCTGTTTCTGATGCAGACCAGGATGCTGTTGACCTTCTTGGCCGCCTGGGCACACTGAACTTAAAACACCCACAAAAACAGCCAGAAAAAAATATTTGGTAGAGCGGCTTGGACCAGCATGTCAAACATACCTCTCAGTGAGTTACTAAGAGAATTAAACTTAACCTGCTTTTTCTGTTCACCTTGCAGGCCAAAGATAACAAGGCTTGACTTCAAGAAGAACAAACTCACTCTAGTTGTTGTTGAAGATGATGAACAGGTAGGTGACTATCTGTTTAGTTATATTTCAGTTTTAATTATACATTACTAGTTCACATCCTCCTAATCTTTCTTTAAGTTTTCAGAATTAACATGGATGCCTTGCAAGATTTTTGATTGAGACTTGGGGGGAGAAGGGGAATGAAGAGACTTAGATATAAAATAAATAGGCTCAATTACCTTTTTTTTTCTCACTCTGTTTTTAACAGAGGAATACCTTGTGAAACTAGTATAGACCAGATAGTTTGGAAACTCTGCATTGTGCAAGAAAGTTTAAAAAAAAAGGCTGTGTACCACATTTAGTAGAATGTTCCTTATGCAGGTGCCAGAATTATTCCCATGGGAAGAAATTGCTCAGAGCTGAAGATAATAAAAATGTGAGCATTGGTGATTTGAGATCAGATTTGGAAGTGAGACCATGTTAGCGTCATTGAGAAGTACCTTCCTATTATAATAATGTCTTTAATTTGTAGTTATCTAGAGGTTTGACTGGTTAAATCTATGGGCTCTAGCCCTGTGCAACTTCAGACAGTGGAGCAGTTTGTTCATTGAAGCTTCTGAAAAGGTTCATTTTTCTGCCTAAAATATTTTTTTTTAAACGTACATTTCAGTATTCATAGAAAACAAATTTTATTTGGCTTGTATTGAATTGTAGCTTTGACTTATTTAAGCCCCTTGTAAATCATCAGTATGCTTTGTGTGCTTTAAGGGAAAGGAGCAGGAGCACACTTTTGTCTTTAGACTGGATCATCCCAAAGCCTGCAAACACTTGTGGAAATGTGCGGTGGAACATCATGCCTTCTTTCGGCTTCGAGGTCCTGTTCAAAAAAGCTCAAGTCGATCAGGCTTCATTCGGTTAGGATCCCGGTTCCGATACAGGTCAGTGTCATGTGCCATTTAGCACATATTTTCTGTCATTTCTTGATTTTCTTGGATTATGTGTGGAAACAGGAGAGGACTTGATATTCATTCACCTAGGACATAGAAAGCAGTGAAACTTGGAAGCTGAGTGACTTGCATTATTGTTTTTATTAAAACATATGGATTTCCCCCTTGCATTTTCTGATTTATCTTTAGGCGATTCTGGTCTGTGCAGTAGGAAACCAAAGGTTTATCAAGATTTATGTTCCTTACGTAGCATATATAATACATTGTGTTTTATAGATGACTTCATCTTGAAAGCCCACCCTTTTTTAAATGAACCATAGAGCATGGGTGATTGCCTTGCACAGTTGGGGACATTGCAAGTCTTTTGACTACCGAGTTCCTGACTGTTTGAGTGATGGTAGTGCTACAGAAGCCTAAGATAATGCTCATTCCATGTTAGGCACTGCCAGTCCATGTAACAGACTTCTGAATGACTTGTGGTCCCGACTAATCTGCAAGATGCTGTCAGTTGCCCCACCAGACTTAGAACATTTGGAAGGGAGTGGGGCATGACCTCAGGCAGTATGCACATACTTTGCTTCCATGTCCAGTAACTGTAGCAATACCATCTAGCCTGCTTCAGAAAGGATCAGTGATACCAAGGAGTCAGCAGATCATGAGGCTGCTACTGCCTTGGGGGCAGTCTGGCTATACTTGGGGAAAAAAGACTTGCCTTGGAACAAGAGCATCTGGATGCTGGTTTTTAGTCCTATTATCTTTCTCTATGACCTTTGGCAACATACTGGAAACTGTGCTAAGGCACATGGAAAATAAGGAGGTGACTGGTGGCAGCCAACATGGTTTCATTAATTGAAAATCGTACCTGACAAATTTGATGGCCTTCTATGACAGAGTTACAGTGTTGGTGGATAAGGGAAGAGCAACTGACATCTTCTATCTAGACTTGTGCAAAGCATTTGACACTGTCCTGCACAACATCCTTGTCCCTAAATTGGAGAGACACAGATTTGATGGATGGACCACTCGGTGCATAAGGAATTACCTGGATGGTTGCACTCTTAAGAGTTGCAGTCAATGACTGGATGTCCAAGCAGAGGCCAGTGACGAGTGACATTCCTCAGGGGTTGGTATTGGGACTGGTGCTGTTTAACATCTTTGTCGGTGCCATGAACAGTGAGATAGAGTGCAGCTTCAGCAAGTTTGCCGACAACACGAAGCTGTGCAGTGTGGTCAACATGCTGGAGGGCAGGGATGCCATCCAGAAGGACCTGGACAGGCATGAGAAGTGGGCCTGTACGAACCTCATGAAGTTCAACAAGGCCAAGTGCAAGGTCCTACACATGGGTTGGGGCAATCCCAAGCACAGATACAGGTTGGGCAGAGAATGGATGGCAAGCAGCCCTGAGGAGAAGGACTTGGGGGTGTTGATTGACAAGAAGCTCAACATGAGCCGGCAATGTGGAATTTCAGTCCAGAAGGCCAACTGTATCCTGGGCTGCATCCAAAGCAGTGTGACCAGCAGATTGAGAGAGGGGATTCTCCCCCTTTACTCTGCTCTAGTGAGACCCACCCCTGCAGTATTGCTTTCAACTCTGGGGTCCTTGGCACAACAAGGGCATGGATCTGTTGGAGCGAGTCCAGAGGAGGCCACGAAGATAGTCAGAGGGCTGGAGCACCTCTCCTAGGAAGACAGGCTGGGAGAGTTGGGGGAATCAGCCTGGAGAAGAGAAGGGTCCAGGGAGACCTTAGAGCAGCCTTCGAGTACCTAAAGGGGCCTACAAGAAAGCTGGGGAGGGACTTTTTACAAGGGCATGGAGTGATAAGAGAAGGGGCAATGGCTTTAAACTGGAAGAGGGAAGATTTAGATTAGGTATAAGGCAGAAATGCTCCACCATGAGGGTGGTGAGGCACTGGCACAGGTTGCCCAGAGAAGCTGTGAATGCCCCATTGCTGGAAGTGTTCCAGGCCAGGTTGGATGGGGCTTTGAGCAACCTGGTTTAGTGGAAGGTGTCCCTGCCCATGGCAGGGGGGTTGAAACAAGATGATCTTTAAGGTCCCTTCCAACCCAAACCATTCTGTGATTCTGTGATACCTTAAGCTTTACTCTTTCCTAGAATTTTCAGCCTCTCCTCTCAGCGTGACCACAGAAATATGCAAAGGGCAAATGTGCTTTTTCAGTAACTTCATTTTTTAGGAATCACTGTTTCAGCCTTTTGTCTTGGGAGAATGGGGTAAAGATTAGGATGTTTGTAAAACTCCTTCCCTTTTTTTGTGAAAGGGCTTCTGAAATGTCAAGTTTGGGATTTTTAATAGAACTGAGATCAGGTTACTAGGCTATGAATTTAAAATAGAAATGTGATCTTTTGAATGAGCAGTGTCTGTATTCTGTCATTAAAAATAAGTGACTTATTTTAATGCTTCGTACTTTTACATGGCATTGTTAGTGGGAAAACAGAATATCAAACCACCAAGACCAACAAAGCCAGGAGATCAGCATCCTTTGAAAGGAGGCCCAGCAAGAGATATTCAAGGCGAACACTACAAATGAAAGGTAAAAGACCTTCTGTTCTGAGAAGCATAATCCACTGTGAGGATCAAGTAATCATATCCTTTAAAGGTTCTGTGCAGGAATTCTTCTGTAGCTGTTTGCCCTTCTCTTGAATTTTCCAAATAGGTTTTCTTGGATGTATTTTGGAAACCACATGTATTTATGAGAAAAAAATTGTCCAAAGAGTGACATTCTAGCTTGCCTAGCAGGTAAAACACCCATGAATATTGCACAATATCCTCTGTATGAGGACAGAAAACTTGGGTCCAGGAAGCGGTGATAGGTTAATGGTAATATTTGAAATTTATGAATCAAGATTGAAGTTTTTGTCATTGAGATTTTTTCATTGTTCTTTGGAGTTGCCTTCTGTCACAACCTGACAGCATGTGATACCCTATCTCTTATTCCTGCTCTTGCATAGGTCAAGCGTGACCTCTGTGCATGCTTTCAGATAATTGCTTAAATCCGACTCTTTGTGCTTTTCAGATTTTTTTTTATTTTATTTTTCTAATTTAGGATTTTATTTTTCACATATTATACATGGGATATATGCAACTTTTGCTCTTCTAGTTGCCTACTTTTAGGCAGTGCTAGACTATTTTATTAATATTATACTTAATATTTAACTGATAATCGGATTACAAATTAAATTTTAATTAACACTTTATATTTTTGCAGCACATGCTGCTAAACTTGAAGAAACAAGGTAAGATGCATTCCACTATTTAAATTTCTCTTTCATGTTTGCCACCTGTACTTGAGCATGTGTCTGCAGAAGGAGGTTATAAGATTAGTTAAATGTAGAAAGTGTTAACCTCTTAACTGTGGTTTTGCTGTGGGTTTTGTGTGTGTTTGCTTTACATAAAACTTGCAGTTCAAAGCAAAGCTCCTGTGTATGTTTCAAACAGAAGATTTTGCCAGACCTGCTTATTAGCAGTCAAAGAGCTTTGTTTATGACTAGATATGATTCTTGCTGGATATGAACTATAGTTCTGCATACTGCAATGTAAAGAGATCGGGTAAAAGCATGTGAGGATGTCGTCTTTCTGAAATCTGTCTGCTCCAGCTCTGTGACTGAAGTACATAATCCAGTGAAGGTCAGAGACAGGGAAAATACAGTCAAATAAATATTTGGAATATGTTGATGGGCTTATAGTCTGTACTATACTTACATTTATTTTGATATACGTAAGTACTTATTTTTTTATATTTATACTAAATTATTCATGATCAACATTGAGAGAGGGGCCTTTTGGTTCTTTATTTCCATACCTAGAATCTTTCTGCATGTGTAGGTTTATACTTGCTGTTGCAATGTAAAATACTCATATGAATCTGAATCATACAGTTTTCATACCCTTCCTTAAGGGAAGAGGGGAAACCAGGCTAAAAAGAATTACCTGGTAGCAAAGGAACTAAGTCACTCAGTTCTGGTTTCTGTCCTTGGCCCTAATAACCTATGAACTTTCCAATGATCAATTGCAACCAAATTGTTTTTTAAAAGTAGATACTCTTAGATGTTAAGCATCATGACAGTCAGGAGCTGGGTAAGGAATGTCAAAATAACACTTCAAAACAACTGGCTTAATAGAGCCATATGTTTTCTATTTTAACAGCAGGGTTGGCTCTTGCATGAGAGGAGGAGAAGGCTAGGAAGTGTGGGGACAAGGCTGCAGTTAGTTTAATGGGGGTCTCTCTGTGACCTTCTGTATTGTCTTGTCTTTTTATAAAATGGGAAAGTACTCTTCAAAACTGGATGTCATTAAATTGTTTAAAGATCCTCTGCTTGCAAAATGTCAGTGATTAATTAGTACTCTCGTCATGCTGTGTTGTCATGCCCTTCTCCGAGTTTCATGCTGCTTATGTCATTCTGAGAGTGGGAAGAGAAACTCCATATGCAGTTTCTCCTCTGATAAGACAGCGGTCTTCTGATCTGTGCCTAGGTGTGGCACTGTTATGTTAGTCTCCAGAGCAATTTATGCCATTTCTGAAACTCTACACTTGAGCGTTGCTAATTGAAATGCATCATGAAAGATGTATGTTGTTCCATTCTTTTGTGTTAACTCAGCACAGGGGAACGCGCTACCCAGAACACATTCCTTAATATTTCTGTTAAATGTGCACTATTCTGTGGTAACCTCCAATACAGCAGGTGCAAAGTTGGGAAACAGACAAGGAACAGCTTGTTTGGTCTTGACATGGTGGTATTTAAGTAAAATAATTCTAAAGAATCTCTGAAGTAGATACAGAAATCTGTTTGAATTGTCAGCTTACCAGGTTGGATACCTATTGTCCAGACTGTAAATCAAAAGATTAATGGGTCATAGGAGACTGGAACCATTTTTTAAAAGATCAGAATTCTAGAAACAAAGTTTGCTTTGCATGAGATTTATAATAATTATTGTGCAGGATATTAATGCTTTTAAGTGTCTCAAAGATGTGAAAATGTGAAATGTCCCTTGCAGATTCAGAGATCATCAGGAATAGGGATGTGGATCTTATTTAATTTATTAAATATATTAAATATTTAATAATACAGAATTATTATTAATTATTATTAATACTGTACTGAGCTGCTGTGCATGTAATTTTGAATGGCTGCTTTTAAGACTGAAGCAGTAATTCAGTCCATTAGAGATTGTATGCAGAAGAAACTGATGAATGTTTGATAAACTTTGTGATGTGAAACTTCAAGTCCTGGTTACGAAACATAGTATCTACAGCATGTAGGTGAGGTTTCGACAATGTCAAATTTTGCTGGGTGTTTAACTAAAACTATATAATTTTTGCTTTAAAAGTACCCTGCCTCACTGCTGAATCATGAAGACTTTCTAAACCAAATAGGTTTAGGAAAGGAAGAGGAAAATCTAGATGAATTACAGATAAACTACAGCCTAAACAAATAAAAAACAGTGTGATACCCTTAGTTACCTAGAATGAGGCAGCTGACGTAAAACATAAGTTTTTAAATTTTGAGAACAGTTAAGTACTTTGGAAAGATCTTTGTTAGACTTTATGTTTTGTTCTGAAAATCCTTGCAGTTCTGCCAGCCTGCAAAAATAGTTTGTTGATCTGATCTGATTTAAATTCTTTTTGTCTTTCAGTAATGCAAACAATGCTGTTATCAACCAAACTAATGGATCACAAGTAAGGACCGTCTCTTTCATTCTTTTTAAAGGCAGTTTTAATGTATTTTAACAGATTTGAGGATTTAGTTATTCATTCTTAAAATCCAGTGATTGACCAATTGAAAGTTACAAATGGTTAACTACTAAATTGCATGCCAAGAAGTGACTACTAATTTGCAAGCAAGATAATTGGTTAATGTAGGTGGAGTAAGGAAGATACCCAATGCCACTATCTACAGATAGTACTGTAGAAACTATGCTATTTATAGATACAGATTTTCATAGGCACACAGAAGTACCTTTGTGTGAAAGTTGTTATTAGCCAAAGCGCATTAATTCTATATGCTAAGTAACATTAAAAAAAAAAAAGAGGAGGGTGCAATTCATCAGCACCTATGTTGATTCTTCCTTGCAGTGTTTTTTTCATTGAAAGAGGCAAATGCACCTGCAAAGTAAAGAATACAGTGTTAGCAAAAATTCAGTGTTGTTCTGAGTTTGAGAAGGAGATCAGAGACACCTGTCCCCTCAGTGCTTGTACACAGAATACCTTGTTTCACTGAAAAGGGACATTAGTGTAAAGTAACTCTCCTTCTGAGTATCAAAAATCAGGACTTGGAGTTTGGAAAGACCCTGTCTTGCTTTTTGGAGTATTTCAGATGTAGAGTGCAACAGAAAGGGTCACATATTGGTGGAAATGGGATTATGGTTTATTTTAACATTAAAATACTCTATCTATACCGATAGGTAGATAGATTGCTGCTGTGCCCAGCCTTTTGTGTTCTATGCAAAAGGAGTTGTTTTTTTTTCAGGATTAGTCATGTTTCAAATGGCAGTCCAAAGGCCTGCAACCCAAAGGTGCCAATCATTATCGCAAAGTTACCTACAGAAGGAAAGCATTACTGCATGGATTTAAAAAGGCCACAGCAGGCCACAGCATTATAAGAGCAAAGATAGTGAATCTTTGAGCAGCCTTGGGTTCATTATGATCCCAGTACTGTGTGCAGCACTGGAAAAGACTAGGCATAGATATCCAGTGCTGTGGAAGTAAGAAAAGACAACAGCCTTGCTTTAGCTTTGTGCTTAGTGTGTGTATAGTAACTTACTTGTTTATATTCTGTCTCCAAAGAGCTGGAATGCAAAGCCAAACATACCTATCCTAACTGCGGTTCCTTCTGCCCCAGTCTTAGTGGAAATAGAAAACCTCCCAAGGAGCCCAGGAGCCAGCCATCAAGACAAGAAGTGGTACGTTCTGCTTTGCTGGGAAATGAATTTTGCTTGCTTATGCATGATTCAGGTGGCTGTTTCTTTACCTGCACTTAAACGAGCTGCCATCCTTGTATCTTTAACATAAATTGACAGTCAAGTTAGTGATGGTGCAGCTGATTGGTTGCTGTGAATGTAGTGTGGGGAGGCGAGGACAACAGGCTTAGTCACAGCCAACCAAAAGAAAAATTTCTTCAGGGACTGAAGAAATTATTAAATCAGGAACAGCATTTGCAAGTCTTGGAGAGAGCTGGGTCCTTCTCATTTGGCATAATACTCCCTGTGACCCTTTCCTTGGTATCATGGGGCCCAAGGGCTTACCTTGATCCTTAACAAAATACACAACCTTGTAAACCAGTATCCTTGTGAATCGTCTTTTGAACCTTTTGAAATGAGCAAGCTGATTTTTTTCATTATCTTGGGTAGAATGGGAGCTTGAGGCAAGTGATACAAGCTGAAGATAAGAGCTTTGATTTCATGTAATCAGCGTATTTGTTTTATGGATTGGATGGATCTCAAAATGAGGATGATTTGTTCGAATATAAATGTACACATAATTTTTCTTAAAGTAATTCTATATTGCAAAGCTATTTCAAAACCAAAATTGGCACATATATGAACCCAGTACTTGTGTACACGTCATCTTAACTTTTTCAGCTTCTTGTGCATTCAGAGGCAGGATGGCTTATCCTAGAAGTGCAATTCTAGTTTCTGCAAGACTCTCCAGGAGCAGCAGCAATGGAATGGAGCAACACAAAAGCTCTTATCCTAAGCAGTTTCAACCCTCAAGAGAAAAGGTCCTTCTCCCATTGTTGGGCATACATGTTGCTTCAGTATCTCTTAAAAGTAGATAATATGTTTTTCTAACAGTGCAATGACAAATGTGCTTTAATTTCATAAATCTTATTGATTAAAGACTTCTAATACTATGGATTTGGGATTATAAGGGGGATGGTAATTCTGCTTTGTGTTGCATTTTATTGAAGTTTCAATCAGAACATATGATCAATGCTTTTTTCTTTCTTTTGCCCTTGATTTGTCTAGTATCTGAAATCTGTGCTTGTCTATGGTGAGATCCTGTTGGTCGCTCGATTCCTTCCATGGTGGTGGGTGAAAGGTGGTGGTTTCTTTATTCTTCAGCATTCTCAATATGGTTTTATTTTTATTCTTTTGGTTTAATTGCAAGATGCGTGCTAGAAACGGGTATTTCCTTTGGTGGAAATGTTTGATTCTTGCTCCAAACCGC